ACCCCCCCCCCCCCCCCCAATTATCATACTTAAAGAAATCACCATCTGTGTTCCTTCACTGTAAGCGGCATTTTAGTTTTGTAATTAGGCTATGAAGTGTCCCTGATGATAAATATTTATTATTGCCCTCATGGAAGAAAATAAACGTAGGTACTGATATTGATTTTTGTCAGTACCAATTTTACTAAGTCTTATCACTTTCGTTTAAATTGAAAATTATATGGAATAAGCAAGGATCGATAAATTTTGTGAATTGCCTGTACACATTTTTCGTGTCATTTGCACTTACTCACCTTTTTAAATTCCAACTAAGGATATCATTTCAGCTGTTTTCTTTCACTTGTGTATAAACGCAAATGCACATTTCCCCATTTTTTCCCCCAACCTGATTCCTGCAATAATAAACTGCTCAAGATGGGTCCAAGTAAGCACCCAGTGAACAACTTGTTTAGTTTGTCCTCGGTCCAAGCAATTACACCTTGAAATCCAATTACACTTAAATATTTCATTTTTAATTTTTTCTTATTCATTTTTAAACTTTTTAATCATTTTCACTTTTGCTCTTACAAAACAATTTGCACTTAGCAGCATGCAGTACATATATGACATAATAGTTAAATAAATAGTCATTTTTTACAGATGTAGTTGAACTCCTGGTGACTTGTAATCTATCTGCATTCTAGGCTAATTCCCAATCTATGGGGATTAAAGGCTCTGCGGTTTACCCCCAGTAAAACCAAATTTTACAAAGCGACACATGAACAATGACAAGAGAAATTGGCCCTATCTCCATATGTCTACTGAGCTAACCATCACATACAGTGTGATGTTTAAACTGAATCCCTTTCAGCAACAAGTTCCCCAAAAAAGGCTCACCATTCAATACTCTATCTTCATCCATCATTAAATGATTCAGGTAGGTAGATTGATCAGAGGCAGCATTGCCATTAAGTGCCAATATATGAAAACAAATACAAGACCACAGCCCAGTAAGTCAACTTCCTGGGACCAGAAGAGCTCAATGTCATGGTAAAGGGCCAATGATGGTACATATTTCTTCAAGACCCTTTTAAATCCTGGGATAATCCTTGTATGAACATTTCACTTAATATGGCATACAGAACCAACGTAAAATGTACAATATCCAACTAACACCAAAGTAATCATCCAGATAGATTATGCTAACAACACTTCTTGATGCAGTTAAAAGGAGGATTTTTTTTGTGTGAAATTTCCATTTCCCATTAATGAGATTGTAGAAACATCAAAGAATGAGACCTTCATAAGTAGGTCCATCATTCTCTGGTGACTCCTGTCTCAGTCTTAAATGCTCAATGGTGTTCTGGAAATGCTTATTAATCTGCTCAGTCTCTTCATTGGATTCTAAGTTCGGCAAGTCTTCACGAATCTTTCCGATTAGTTGATTTAGCACCTGGACCGTCATCTGAGGAAAGAAAAGAAAAGAAGTCCAATTACTGGACTAATCACGAACATATATTTTTTAACAAATTATTCCAGCGCTTGGTAAATGGATCTTTTAATTAGGCATACAATTACTATAGAGTTGGCTTAACCAAAACACAAATCTAATATGGTTGGATATATTATTCTTAAATATAATATAATATAAGGGTATGTGAGCATATGTATTTATGTTAATGCTTCTACCTGTATTTGATCATGTATGCATGCATGTGAATCGAGTGCAGTTTGGGGGTGTGTTAAAAATAAAGAATATTCAAATTTACTTTTAAATGCTACTATTCATAGTTAGACCCAGTAAAAATACAAAATTGACCAAAACTACTAACACTAACACCTGAATAATGAGATATTTAAATTAAAATCCATTCTGTTTCTATGCATACAGTATATATTGTCTATCATGGCACATTTCGTCAGCACATTATTAATATAACCTATGATAAAATACAAAAAAATAATTATAACTAAAAAATATTTTCTAATGTGGCAGATTGAAAAAAAAAAGTGACCCTGCAATAAGATTCAAAACACTGCAATAATTATTTCACCTGGTCATTTCCTTTTTCATACATATATATGTAGTGGTTGAGGATCTCCACAAAGAGCTGCACTTGGACAGAGCTGTCCATGCACTGGTTGGCTATCCTCAGGCTTTTCTTTAGACACTCCATCACACGTTTACCATCCTGAACCTGGAAGTACATATCATCAATAATACTTCATAATGTACCGATAATTGTCAAAATAATAAATTTTAATGATTAATATCCTGCTGATAATTTTTCTCTGGAAAGGAAAAAAGATGTCATCAGCATCATGAGGTTAATCTGTTTGTGTCGGCTGTTGTCGGCAAGTGAGCTCTGGTCATGCGGAAAGTCATACAGCACAAAGTCCACTTTCTGACCACCTTTGAGTAACTCACCAGCACAAAGTCCACTTTCTGACCACCTTTGAGTAACTCACCAGCACAAAGTCCACTTTCTGACCACCTTTGAGTAACTCACGGGTTATATACACTGCTCCACCAAAAATTAGGAACATATTTCATAATTACATTTATAAAAAGGTATTACCAAACACTATCAGCTACCTGTTCCAGACTTTTGCTGATGTCAAAAGAAAATGTCACCATTTTGAGTCACCATTTTCACATTCTCCTTACAATTAAAAAGCTGAACAGAGTCACAACATACACATAGCAGGTGCTTAAGTAGAAGCTCACTTGGTGTCTTATGAGCCCAAAGGGTTGGGCGTTTTTTACACATGAAACTATAATTAATGAACATAAATGAATGTTGGAGTTGTGGTGTAACAAGAATGGAAGTCCCAGAAATGGAAGTCCAGGATCCCATATCATTAGAACATGTTAGGGTTAGTTAGAGTACTGGGGTCAGTATATGGGACAAATGACGCCAGTACAATGAGCTAATGGGAAGCAGATTACGGTTCCTAGAGGAATACCACTCCTGTTACAGTGGCATTAATATTAAATTGCTATTGTAATAATCATCACCATTTGCCTGCCCTTACCTCTTCCCCTTCGGACTCTCGCGTTTTGCCTGACCAGAACAGATGTGAGCACGTAGCCACGCCACGACACTGGTCTGGTTTCTTCAGAAGTTTGGAGGCTGCCAGAGCGCATTGTGTTCTCAGAGGTTCATGGTTCTCTTCTCCAAAACATTTCATTTTCTCAAATGTGGCAATGATTAAAGTGATGGCAGAGAGCTGCGCCTTACTGTCACTGATTTCATCCTCGTACAGTGAAAATGCCTGAAAGAAACAGATATTACAATGTCAGGGGCAGATCCAGAGATATTTTCTGACAGTCTTCTGACAGATTAATTAATGTCTGTCAGTGTAAACTCGACAAATTCTGACTGTCTTCCAGAAAACCCAGAAGATGGCCGGATGTGTAAGTACTTTCTGTTTTGACTAAATAGAAAAAAGTTCTTGTTTTAAAGATTCACAATCTACAGCTCACCAAACAAACACTTCTATCACTTGTGACAACACATACTTTTAATCTTAATTTTCACAAACTTATGAAAACCCTACTAAAATTTTTCAACTTATCAAGAATAACTGAAAATCTGATTATAAAATTGATATAAGATATTCTCCAAATCCAAGATCATATTCATAATACTCTCACTAATATTGATCAGTGATCAAACATATCATTGATCAAACAGAGTAAAGGAAGCATTACTATATATAAGACAATTGTGCTCTGTAAATATCACTATTTCTGAGATCTGCAAGACAATATATTGATCTGACCCTGAAGCTAATAACCGTATAAATATTCACCTGTGACAAGAATTCATATGCTACAGACTCATGGTTTTCAAATCCTATCTCTCCAGCAGCCAGACCTCCCTGAAGGAAGAGTCTCAGTGGGACCTCGGCCATCTCTGCCTTTATCAGGGCTCCTATCGTTTGGTGACAAAACTGGAAAATCTTCTGACATTTTTTCTCCCACTTATCATCCTAGAAATGGATTAAATATGGATTGAAAATGGGAATCTGCTTTAAATGGAGCTATCAAGAAACAATACTCTCTCTCTCTCTCTCACACACACACATACACACACTCAGACAGTAGCACTGAAGGTAAATAAATATGCCCCCCTCTCTCTCTTTCTCTCTCTCTCACACGTACAGACTCAAACAGTAGCATTGAAAGTAAGTATGCCAGTTCTCTCTCTCTCTCTCTCTTTCTCTCTGGTGAATACAAAACATTTCTGTAGCTTTAGCCTCTAATTATAATTCATAGATCATATGTGTAAATGACACACAAAACATTCACCTCTTCTTCTAGTTCTTTGTACTTGAAAGCCAATTTGTAGGCTGCAAACACCAATGGAGGCAGGGTGTACTTAATCCTCATGTTCCCACCGTTCCCAAAGTGTTTCCTGGCCGCATTCAAGATCTGAAATCAAACCAAATTACTTTAATATGAGACATATTTGAAAAACGTATGTGTGGTCTGCTGTTTTTTTTTTCACACTGAACCAATCAATCATTCAATATCACAGACCTTAGCTAATAAAAAGATGAAAGACATAACAGCATTTCCACAACATACCTTTTTTTCACATCATAAAATGTTTATTTCCTTATGTTTAATGTACTTGTTATAAGTGAAATATACATCTAATCTATACATTGCACTGAATGAGACTTATTGTGCAATTTTAAAGCTTCTCCTCACTAGGTTTGTCAAAATTTATACCATAGCACTTTACTAACACTCGCCAATTTAGCCAAATGCTAAAACTGACTTAAGTTGACTAAACACCAAATGGTGGATTTAACTTGTTTTAGTCAAATTTCAACCACGTGGAGAAAAAAGGTGATGAAAAAGCAGTGATTTCGCTAAGAGAAAAATTGCCCACAAGCAATTCCAAAAACAGACACATTAGTCTTTTACAAATTTAAATATTTTCCTTATGGTTTCTACCATACCAAATATTGTTGGTCAGCATCTTCTGCCTGCATTAGGTTAATTAACCTTCCCATCAGGCCTTGTTCCTCTGCAAAATCTTCGGGGTCGATATCATCTTGGGGCTGTCCTTCTTGGTCACAAACCAGTGGCGCCACCAAGTTCAATATTGCATCAACCTGATTGTGAACAATGTATATTTTCCTTACCTGTTTTATTTTTCACAGCTTGATCAGACAAGATATGGATAAGTTTAAATGAAAATTAAATGCTACAAAAATTTAACAACTTCCGTAATTAAAAAGTATTTATAGAATTTTTAATAAGAAGAACAGTAAAAAAGAGTTAAAATTCACACTGGCCGTGAGTACAGAATATTAAATTTGGTGACTATATACTAATAGTGCAGCCTTTTTGATTTGCCCAATATGCCTTATCTATTACTCATTCATAATTTGAGATGTTATATGACTTTGACACTTGAGAAACAAATATATATACTACCAGAAAATACAAAAAAATTTCAATTTAAAAATACTAAAAAATAAATAATACTTAAAAATGTATGAAATATCTCAAAATATTTCAAATGAAACAAGAAATATTCCAAAATATCAAAAGACAAACCTGTTCCTGTGATGGTATCTTTATATCATTGTCTAATGCATTTACTATTATGTACGAGCTCATGCTCTTCTTGGCAGCAAAGTCAAAGTACTCAAAGAGTGGACCGAAGTGCTCCAGCTGCAGAACGGTCAGTATGTTATTATAGCTGTCCACTGGGATCTTCATAAGGCGCATCAACTCCTTGGAAACTGCACTGGAATTCTCTATGCTGTCAAATACAAGAGAGATAACATGTTATATCATATAAATACCTGACTACTATCACACACACACACACCTGAATAGAATATTATATCACTAAATACACACAAACACTGCTTCCCCCTTCACTGATCCCCCCTTCAATTACTGAAAAAAAAAATTCACACCAATGGTTCTCTGTTGAATTTTGACTAGCTGAATCTTAATTCTAAACCGTACCAAATGGCAATGTTCCCCCTCTAAAATACCAAAATTTTTCAGGCCCTTAGGCAGGCCTGGAACCCCAAACCAACCACCCCTGTAAACTACTCACTGGTCCAGGTTGAGCCTGTTAAAGATCTCCTCGGTGGTCTCCAGGACCTTGTCCACGTAATCCACCCTGTCTGGGTAACACTTCAGAGCCAGGTTGATCAGCGCCACCTGTAGGGAAACGATGTCTTCAGGAGGCATATCAGGACGATTCTGAAATATTAAGAAATCTTTTGAAAATTTTGTCTATAGAACATAAACAGCAACAACAATAGATTTTCCAAAGGATTGGGGTTTAATTTCAACAATGAACAGGGACATGAAGTACAAACAAGCTTGGTTGTGTTTATATAGACTATAAAATATCAGCTATAAAAAAGATATTCTCTGAAGGAGAGTCAGCATAATTCATAATTATCGAAAAAGAAACAGGTATTGAAAATTGTAATAGTTGTTCTCACTGTTTTCTTTACCTGAATGACTTGAGAAATCTGCTGTGAAAATATATCAAAAAGTTGGATGTCTTGTGGTATACCAACACCTTCCTCTTTGTTGGCAAATTGGGCAAGTCTGTTGAAACAAAGAAAAACACACATGATTTCAAATTTTGACAAAAAATATAACTGTTCTTGCAAAGACTTTTACACTTCCAGGTTCAGGTAGAGATGCTTCATGAGACGATTATTTTGAATGATACTAAACTTTAAGTCGTATCTCTGTTGGATTTTGCAGTTGACCTCTCTCCTTACTGGTGCAAATCACTGGAAATTGCTCGGAAAGATTATAGTAGGTGTTTAATTTTTCCAATAACCTCTTACATTAAAGAGAAAACAAGTTCAAAACGAGCTAGTGCTGAGTAGATTTGAAAATTTGAAAGCTACACTTTATAATTACAACAAAATATCAATTCAATGCTTCAAGCTTAACAAGATTAATATATTGTCTGTAATTTACTGTATATGAGTACATCATATCACCTGTCAATAAGAGCTATGATGATGTTCTTGACATTGACATCAGGGTGAAGGTCAGCGCAGGCCTTTAAGAACCCGGTCAGCGTTTGGAGGTGGAACTCGTCTGGAAATACCTGTAAGGAAAGGTGTAAAACACCACCTTCAATTGATCGTTATTATTCATAAAACTTGGGAGTTTTAAAAGCCTGCTAACATACAAAAAACGATATTTTCTCCATTGTGTAAAAAAGACTACTTTGGAGGTGAAACTCATCTGGAAATACCTGTAAGGAAATAAGACACCACCTTCAATTGATTGCTATTATTAATAATAAAGGAACAATAGTGACAGTTACCATTAAACTTGGAGTGTTAAAACCTCTTAACATACAAAAAAAACATTATGATGTCCACTGCATAAAAAAAAACTACTGCAAATATGATAAGTTTATTCAAACAACTCCTGAATAGCCTGCTTTATGATATACATGTATAGTCAATACTTTCCACTTACAAATGTCTATGAGCTTCATCAAAATGGCACAAATACACACTAAAAGCATTTTTAAAATCATTTAAAAGAAAAAATACTGATATTTGTTATATCTCTGGGAAAACTACCTGTATAATGCACTCCATCAAGTATTCCTGTGCTATGGGATCTCTACAGCTTACTGTCTGCTCCAACACACCAGTCAGGATATGCTGAAAGAAATGGAATATATACACACTTAGGTATAAATATTGAACCAAAATACCCTTCAGCTAGGCATTACAATGAGGCTGTGCTGTCACCAGAGATTACTTTAAAAAATTAGGAATGAAAGGCACTCAAACGTTGGTCCTTGTTCTATTATACATCAGAGGGCAGTATACATGGTCGGTGAGACAGGAATGGTAGTCCTAGGAATGGAAGTCCTGGCTCCCCATATGATTAGTACAAGTCAGGGTTAGTCAAAGTACTGGGGTCAGTATATGGGACAAATGTCACCTGTCCAAAGGTAATGGAGAACAAACCATTGTTCCTAGCGGAATTCCATTCCTGTCATTGCCTAAAATTTTAACAACTCTTTTTAGGTAGTCTGTACTCCTGGCCAACAGCACCCTGAATACTTATAACTCTTTCACATTCAGTTTACCTCATAAATAATTCATGTCATTAATTCATTTCAACACATTTATTCTATATTAAAATAAAACCTAATGACTTTTACTAAAAACCTGATACTTTTTATCACTGCCTTAATATAATTAATCACTTACATCACGTTTTGGGAGAAATAAAACTGTTTTCTTTTTGGGCAACAAAATCTATAAAAAGTGAAACAAAATAAAACAGTCACAAACCCTTTTATACATCTCCATGTCAACGCACTCTAACTGGCTGAGGCGAACCAGATTAGTACCAACAAGGATACGCAGCTCGCGTCTCTCCTGCTCACGCTTGTCTTTGTCGCGCGTATGTCCCTGGTGCTGCATGCGCACCCACAATTTGTTCATTTCAGCAAAGTTCAGGTGGATGAAATCAATGGAGTCTTTGACAGTGCCAGATTCTGGATCCCCACTGAAGGCAAACAGATAAATCTGAGCTATTACAATTATAATATTTTTGTCTTTCAAGTTTTTTCCCCCTATTTTCAGCACATTAATTTATTTCTCTGAAGTAATTGCGTTAAAGTGAGATCTCTATTGAAAAAAATCTACCTACATCAAATAATCTTTTCATTGAACAGTTTGATGGCATCAAAAGTAACACAAATTAAAAGACTAAACAACTTCTCTAACAAAACAAACTAAATTTATAAACATGGCAATATTATCTAATTAATGTACCATAAAGACCACAAAAATCCAAATAAAAAATTCTAAAATATGTAAATAAACTACTTTGATAAATTTAAAAACCTCAATACAACATCAAATACAATTTTCACCATTTCTTAATACCTAGCTGCCACTTCTTCCTCAGCATCAGGCAGTACATTCTTGGTACACTGTAGGAGATAGTTCCTGAGGAAGAGGCCCCTGAGGGGGTGTTGTACACCTCGACACATCTCTACCAGATCTTTCAGAATGTCCTTTCTGGAGAGCTCGTTGGCTTTGATGTACACCACGCCCACTGTGATTAATAGATATCTGTAAAAAAGTCAAAATATAATCAAAGTTACTCATAATATGAAATAAAGTTAACTCTTTAATCTATTACCGGATCTACAAACTTGTCTTATTGACAATGTTGCATTTCCCTCTTGGAGACTTCATCACTGTAAGGATACAAAGCTCATACAATATTCAAGAAAAATCGAGGAGAGATGTTGACACTGTTTATAATATGAAATATGCTAATACCAACTTACAATCTTGACACAATATTTAAGAAATCAAGAAAAGATGTTAACACTGTTTACTATATGAAATATGTGCTACCAACTTTCAATCTTGGCACAATATTCAAGAAATCAAGAAAAGATGTTGACACTGTTTACCATAGGAAACATGTTATACCATCTTTCAATCTTGGCACAATATTCAAGAAATCAAAAAAAAGAAGTTGACACTGTTTATCATGTGATATATGCTATACCATGTGATATATGCTCTACCAACTTACAGTCTTGGCACAATATTCCCAGCATACTGCACCAGTTCGTACAAGTCGGCTACCTTCCTTCCCTTCTGGAACTCATCCACCAGGTAGATCTCCAGGTGGCGCAGTTCATCAGTGATTGACATATCTGTCACATACTTAAGGAAAACAAATATCAACTGAAACCGTGATGTGTCCATCCACCAGGGCTTTTCACAGGTACAGGCCATCCAAAATTACCACCTATAATTTTAACAAAAATTTCAGAGAGTCCAAGTATTCCTAAAGTTTTTCTGCGAGGAGGAGGGGGACTTTATTCAAATACTATATGTATTTGTATTATCTAAAACATAAAGGTGGGGATACTAGGGGTTCAGTTTTATGAAAACAGACCCCATCATTGTAAGGATACAAAGCTCATAGTAACTTTTAGGTGAAAGCATGGAAGTCCTCAGTTCACTTAGCATATTGGAGGCATGTTTTAGCCCATCCATCAACTTGCCTTTGTCCTGAGAACAGAGAAAAGTATTATTATATAGTGACCGTGATATTCATTATAGAAGTACAGTAGTATGACTGTGATATTCATTATAGAAATACAGTAGTAAGCAAACTTTTTTTGTATAAAGACGCTTTTAGTTTGTATACTAATTGGCATTACAATGAAGGAACGTTGCATTAAAAATAAGTTAGAAGTGCAGATTAAAACATATTCAATGATTAGAAACTATGCATGCGGCTCTACTGTTATACTGATTTATGGCCAAATAATGCTAAATAATATTCAGGCAAGTCAGATTTTGCATAATCGTCAGTTTTGAAACACATTTTAAGAAGTATCTTGATGATGAAGTAAGACAGATTTAACTTTAAAATTCCTTTAGGGTACTCTGATGAAAAAACTCACAAGAAGTAACAGAGTCACCATTTTGTAACTTACCAGACATCGTTTCATCTGGAAGGACTGTGCCTTCACCACCTGAAGTGCCTCATCTAACAGCTTCTCCTGCTCCTCCTGTGGTGACAACTGGGCCGTGTTCGGCTGGAATGGAGAACCAGACATCATAACAAAAGTCAATGCTACCCTGCCTGCACTGCCTATAGTACAATGTAACTTTGTACTTAACGGTACTGTGCTAGTGACTGTGCAACTGAAGATCAATACAATACGGTTATTTTGATAATGATATTCAGGGACAGTGCCACTGCTAAATCGGAGTGAAACAATGGAAAATGGTGCTCGATAAGCAATCACACAACTACTGAATATCTTATCATACTAAAATCACATGTGGTGAACAACCTGTAACTAGAAGATAACTCATTCCACACCATGATGATTACAATATTCCGGGTCGATGTAGACCTGACAAATCACATTTCAACAGAGAATCACTAGGATACAGTTCTGCTATGAATAGTGCCCTGACTGAAGAAACTGAGGTGACAACTAACTTGTCCATCATTTTTTATGATGATGTTGGAATGGATTTAAATCGGCATCCCGCTTTTTCAACGTTTTTGCTTATGTTTGGTGGATACGCTCTGGGGGCGACTTTTTCATAATGTTTTTAAAATTATTGGCACAAAAGGACATATCAACCATGAAATTATAGCAACAAAAAATATCTTTAAAAAGGGGAGGGAATATCGACTCACCATCTTGGACTTTTGTACTTCCTACTCACGTGACTTGTGCAAAAGTACGGAGAAAGGAAGCCAACAAGATAGGACCCAGACAAATTCACCATAAAAATGTTAATCGGCTAGAAATAGTAACCCCGTATGCCAAAATTATTTCAAATAATTTTTTTCAAATAAATTATTTTACAAAGTTCATATTTTACAATATCTAAAGAAACTCCAAAGAGGCGTGTCTTGTATGCAGTAGTAATAAGATCGAGGTAAACAAGGGGCACATGATGATGAAGTTTGCCGGCAAAGTTGCACTTATTACCGGCGGAGCGCAGGGTTTAGGGCGGGTTTTCTCTGAAGCCCTGTTAAAACGGGGAGCTAAGGTACATAGAGATGGGATTATGCAGAATAATGAGTTCATAAGACTAATTAACCTTCGGTTTAATGAGATGCTACGGCCTTACCAAGATGCTGTGCTACTCAATGTGCTGTGTACTACTATCCGCTGGCTTTTAAATTAGGCAGCTGACACCGTTTTTATACACATGCATACATTTCAACACTCCCGGATAACCCGACTTTGAAATTTGCACCTCTGTCAGCTAACGTCCTGTCCCAAATACCCAAATCAAAACAATTCCTCGGGGAGGCCGGAGGGGGAGCACAGCGGCATCAACCCCCCCCCCCCCCCCCTTTCATGTATCTCTGGTAGCAAATGATGGATTTTGTGTCCTTCGGAGTACATGTTATGCAATTATGTTTTAGATAGTTCAACTCTTCTACAAGCAAGAGTGGTAAGTTTACACGTTTCAATTTTTCTCTATACATTTTAGGTGTGTATGGCAGATATTGATGATAAAACAGGACTGAAGACTTTGGCACAGTTCCAGCAACAATATGGCCAAGACAGTAGCACATTTGTCAAGTGTGACGTAACAAGTGAAAATGAGTTAAAAAGCAAGTTGAATTTTGTTTCTATTTTGCTGTGAAATGTATAACACTTTTATTTTTTAGCATGACTTTATCAGTAACCATAAAGTTGACGTCATTACACACAGGCCTACCCAACTACACACACCTTGAAAACCGGTAGTGTGGTCTGATATACCAGTGAATTCAGGATCATTTGGTGCCAAGTCTGGTAGCTGGGTAGGCCTGGCACATGTACAGTTGTTTCCTTTTTATGTTTTTCTGTGAACTGTTTAGGTTGCAGGGATTGTAAAAGGCATTTTAAAAGACCATTTTTCTGGATAGATCAAGTGAAAAACCTTAAATTTGTCATTTAAAATTTTTTATTTGATTTGTAGATGCATTCAGCCATACCAAGCAGTCACTGGGAGGCCTTGATATACTGTGTAACAATGCTGGCATAGTGAATGAAATTGACTGGAGAAAGACCATTGACATAAACCTGGTAAGAATAACAGCTGTTCATTTTGGCCAAAAAAAAAAAAAAAGAATTTTCCTGGGGTAAACAGCAATTTTCTCATACTTACCAATGGTTAATGAATCCATTTCTACATTCAAAGTTAGTCCCCTGGTTATTTTCTAAAATTTTTTTTTTTGTAATATTCTCTTAAGAGATTATTACAGAGAGTAGCTACCTATGGAGGTCAGGTGGTTGGATTGCAAGCACACATTTCAGATTTATTGCTATAAGTGCTGTTTTTTGTGGTAAAAAAGATAATATTATATTTCTGTATGTTGTTTACAATATATTTATTGTGAAATATAGATCTCATATGAAGAGTTCCCTTTAACAAGAAGACACATAAATTCCAGTCAGTATATTAATAACAAACTAATCCAGTATTGTGTTGTTCTGTGTACTTCTTAGAACAGCTCATGTATCTGAACATTCAAAGTTATACCACCCTTTGGATAAAATTCTTTGGCTAAAACATGAAAATATTTAAACTGTATCTAGAATTTGAAATTAAAATGAGTTGGCGATACTGTGGCAAGGCAATATACAATAAATGTTTTTTATTTTCCAAGCCAATTTTTATTAGTATATGATAAGCATTTGACTGAACTTTTTTTCCGCTGAAGTAAGATATGCCTCAAGTTTTATAGTCTTGAAATATGTTTTCTGTTATGCTAGTACATGTATATATATGCTTGTTGTCTCACAAATATGGGTATATGCCACAGGTTAGTACTGAATAGTCAGATTGTATTTATTTCTACTGCCCAGATTGCAGTAATGACAGGGACGTACCTGGGTCTTGAGGCTATGAGAAAGGACAGAGGTGGCAATGGAGGTGTTATCATCAACGTGGCTTCCGTTGCAGGTACAGATTGAAGAAAAATTACTTATTTGATATAACTTATCTAATATAACTTTCATCATTTTCTTTGTAGTGGAAATGGGCATTTTTGTGTAAAATTATTAAATTTATTAAAAATGGAAATCAAACAAATTACATATTTGAAGGACGCCCTTAAATATTTTTTTAAACACGTATTTCTAAATATATGGTAAGAATAAAGTAATTTTTCTTCAATCAACAGGTTAATATTAAAATAGCTAATCTCCAATAGATATTAAGCTGTTGATTGAAGAAAAATTACGTTATTGTTATAACATAACATAGCTGATGAAATTCTTCTCTGGCTAGATATATTGGTGTTTTGGTGGAAAATACAAAGCCGTATATTAATTATTATGTATCTGATGAATTTTACCCCAATTATGAGCATTTGCTCCTCGAAAAGAGTCATGATGATCTGTGACCACTTATTCCTTTTCACATGTTCTGCGAACTAGTGACTTATCCATTTTTTTCAGTTTGAATAATGTCAGTTGATTTATTTCATGGTTTAGTCAAAGTATCTTCTATTAATGTTATACTATAAAACTTTTATTTTATTGTATTCTTTAAATAAATGTGTAATTGAAGCTAATTTGAAGGCTTTTCTTGTGTTTGCATTATAACTATATCTGAAGGCTTTTGTGTTTTGCAGGTATAATATCCATATCTGAAGGTCCATCATACACTGCGTCAAAGTTTGGGGTGGTGGGTTTCTCAAAAGCCATGGGGGTAAGTACTGTCCACAGTTCACAGACTGAAGATCAGTATGACCATTAATGTCATTATGTTCAGTGCCTTTGATTTAAGATTATACAGTATATTTGCACTTAAAGTGTTGCATTCTCATTTAACTTAATCCTTTTATGTTGGTTTTCAAAAGAAAGATAATTTACATATTTTTACATATTATTTACATATTATTCATTATATTATATTATATTATATTCAGTTGCTGGAATGACATCATTCCATTCATTTGTACTGCACATTTTTTACATTTATTTGCATTCATCAGGGGCGGATCCAGAGCTATATACTGACAGTCTTCCAAATTATCTTTGTTGTAAAAGCAAAATGAAATGTAAAAGCAGAAATATTTTTTTGTGCTTTGTCATCTATGAAATTTTTATTTAAAAACCAATGTTATAGTGAAAAATGTATGTATTGAATCAGGCCTGTATTCAGGGGGGGTTCAAGGGGTTCGAAAGAACCACCCCTTTTTGCTGGGAAAAGGTCCACTCTGGGTAAAATTTGACCTATGTACTTGTACCTTTATGGTAAAAGGTCCACTTTTTCAGAAAACGAACCCCACCCCACCCCCCCACCCCCCACTCTGAAATTGCTGGCTACAGGCCTGTGAATTGTCTTTGATATGAAATTTCAAACCATAATTATTCCAAAAATCCATTGGCTGTATCTAATGGTCAGATACCGCCAATAGATTTTTGGATTTTTGGACATTGAGAAAAGAAGAAAAAGATATTTTATTTTTGTTTTCATTTCAGGAAGATATTGATTATCCTACACATCAAGTGAGAGTGAACTGTCTTTGTCCTACCTTTGCTGATACTCCAATATTACATAGCAGTGATAGAAAAGTAACAAAGTCAAGTCATTACAAGCTGTATAAGAAGAGAAAAGAGCTGCTGGGGGTGATGGAGTAAGTATATGACAGAACTAATGGATGATCAACATGGTTCTGTTTCTACGCATGAAAGTAATTAATATTTGATTCTGTTGAGTCATTTTCATACAGATCAGTGATTTCAAGTTTATATCTAATTTAAGGGATGGGGGGGGGGGGGGGAGCTAAGCCAAACCATTTCCAATATATTTCAGTAATGCAGCAATTGTGATTCCATTGTTTTAAAATATTCCAATTTGGTGGCAAGGCAAAATGATAAGTGTGACAGTAGAGCTAGAGGACTCAAAAGTAGGACGAGTGCCAAATCTCCCTCACTGTTCAAAAAACCAAGGAATTTTTTTCAACCCCCGTGCCCTTCATACTGTGACAAAATTGAATGTGTTTGTTCATTATTATTAAGTACCTGTGCCCCCCCTCAACCTACCCCCCTCTCCCTCTTCACTTGCGCATGCGTGCGTGCACGTGCACACACACACACACACACACGAAGCATAATCCCGGATCAACTGGTCTACAGTATGTGCACTTAACTACTGGATAATAAAAAAAATATGAAAAAAAAAAGAAAAAAAAAACAATTCACATAATTATCTCATTTTTGTTTTCAGTCCTCATAGAGTGGGAGATGCCTTCATACAGCTAGTTGAAGATGAAAGTCAGAATGGCTCTGTACTTACCGTCACCAGGGACCAGATTAGATACAAGAAGTACCCTCCCCCTCTCACTTTGACAAGCAAACTGTGAAATACATAATATGAAACTTTTATTCTCTAGGTGATTTAGATAAAATCGGCCCAAAAAAGTGCACACAGGCAAAGGGTTATTTAACTGAAAGGAAAAATGGGTGGATATGCATATGTGGTTCATACAGTAGCCATGGACATTATTTATAGTTGGAGGAAAGAAAAAAATGCATTCAAAAACTATTGAATTGACAGCAAAAACGTGAGATGAAAATTAATCATGTATGAATGGGAAGGTGATCGATCAACCAATTAATATAGTGACAATTTAGTGCTAAATAAAGCTGCAAGTTGTTGAGAACAGATCGGGAGTACATGATTTTAATAATATAGTTTCTATAAAATTAAAAAAAATACTGTTTATGAAGACTCAGTTTCTCAGAAAAGCAAAAGTTCTGAAAGAGGTTGGGTGAAAACTTTGGAATGCTTTGGAGTCATAGAGCTAGGGAAACCCATTAGCATGAGGGTTTTGAATGGGCTTTCAATACTTTTCTTTTGATAACGTGCTAAATGTCAGCATCACCTTATTCATTTGCTCAAAAATATTTAGATTAAGGGGTACTTTCTTGGCATGTGACTTTTCAAAATTCAATTCCATCATAGTTATGAGAAGCCTGTGTGCTTAAATGTGGCATGTATAAGTCAGATAATGTATATCTATTCTAATACTTGTTTTATTTTGGTGCAGATCAGAGGCAGAAAGAAGCTGTCTTCTGGGTCTTCCAGAAAATGGTCAGAATTTTAAAGTTAACATTGGCAGGCATCTAATTTTTCTGTTGGAAGACGGTCAAAAATGGAGGATGGATCAACTAGGATAAATTGGAAGACTGTCAGAAAATATCTCTCGATCCGCCCCTGAAAATGATATGTGAAAGATGCATATTTGTACAAAATATTTAAGCATACATGAACTCTGTCTGAGTTCTGTACAAAAGTTACGTATTTTTGATAACTGTATGTCCTAATAACAGATAGGCTATGAATGGCACCTTTAAAATTATTAAGAAGTGCACAAAATGTGATATACATGTGTAAGTGTTGCCATATTCTATGTTAACTACCTATCTGAAGGGGTATTTCATACGTTCCAAAAAAGAAGAAAAAGCATGTTCTCTTAGAACCATTAAGCTTCACAATCATCATTATCACCTTCTTGTCCCATTATCACTTTGATTTTTAAAGACAGTCATTAATTAATCATCAGTCCAGGTGTGGACAAAATTAACAAGTTGTTAATGAAAAGATGTATGTGGAAAGATTAGCATGATTATAATGAGTCTATTGTTAGACCATTCTGCTTAGCATAATACTTGCTCATTAGACAGAATTGTGATGAATTTTTGTAGGTTGCTAAGACACCATGTACTGTACACCAGAAGAACCAGAGTATTAAAATCCACATTGATTCTATATTGAAAAAAATTGCTCTCGGGAGCCCAATGTTCTATCTTATAAAACACATTATTTGTGGTATTTGTGCCAATATTTTATTTTCAGTTATCAGATGGTGCCTTATAAAATACTCTATGTTAATTATAAATCATACAGGGTATATGTGGTAAAAATATCAATATCGCAAAAAAAAATTGCAAGTATTTTATATCATGTTTGAATAATTAGTCATCATAATAAACCATAGAAAAATCTGACGTGTATATTATAAATCCCTCTTTTTATGAATACAGTTATGCCGTGAAGCGAATCCCTCTAAGGTGCAGACATTCTACTCTGCATTTTTCATATTCTAGTATATATTTATAAATTGATAAGTGCTTCATGCTTCCCTGTGCATGGCGCTTACTCTAAATTACAGCAAAACCTTCGTAGAATGTCGGTTAGGTCATTTTTTCGGTGAGATCGGAAGACCACGAGTGGCGTTCGCGCAGAAAGGCATAGACACGCAATTTTTACTTCATAACTGACTCTGTCTAAAGGCAAAACTGATGCCGATACGCTCCACACGATTGCCGCTTTCATCCAGGCCCCAGAAACCTTCGGTTGAGTGACTATGTCGATCTCGGTCATTTATAATTTACGTGTGTACCAGGCACGCATGACTAATTGATCTGGATTGTTTGTGAAGCAGTATTGATAGTAAACTCGTAAATACACAAGTAACAGCATAACCAGGCTAAGCCTATCGATCTGTACTACGTACACGGAAAGAACGCACATCTCGTACAGTGGGGCCCGATTAATGTTCTCTGCCGTGAAAAAATATAAACATGCAATTTTCTCAGTACAGATTCTTAATCATTTATTTTTTATCTCATTTTATTCTATTATTATTATTATTATTACATAGAAGGAGGATAAAGTCTTTTTTTTCTACCGTTTTCTTTCCGTTTTCTTGTTCTTGGTTGCGATGCAGTTTTTGTCATTATTCAACAGTTGATCTAACAATGGAGACTCAACACGACATTTGTCTTTCCTATATATCATCTGTTAATAATTAAATGTTGTGGCCGCGGGTTACCTGCTTACTAGTTATTTGCATACATCACGTAAGGTAAACGATAAATTGGCTGCAAAATCATTAATTTCCTATTTAAAAGGCCTCGGTGAACATGGATGATCATTTTGAGGGTCATGACTCAGATAGATGTTTTTGTTTTTTTCCTGCTTCAAGCTATAGTGCATGCAGGTTTAACAATTAATTCTACAAACTCATGTAAACAATTTTTTAGTCGAAGCACTAATGTTATGTCGTCGAGGTTGTGCGTTTTCAATGTTTTTAAAACGCAAGTAACACCACAACCACGGAAAGCCTAGACAGAGGTAACAGGATCGTATCTAAGGCTTCTTCCAGCACCGTTTTTACTTTAGTGGCTTTTAAGCTGTCCTAGGACAGGAGACGGTTTGTTTGCACTCACCCAAATTAAACGTCCAGCACAAAAAATCGAAATAAAGGGTTAGATAATAGGCCTAGGAAATAATGTATACTCCCCGGCGTAACCCAGACATCTATTTGCAATAAACCCGTTTTCTCCCCAAAGTTAATAGGCAGTGAATAGGCCCTGCAGATATAAAATGAATGCACTTTTGAAAAAAAGGGCTGTTCTTTAGAAAATAAGTTCATCTGGATGCGTTATGTATATAACTTCACCTAGCGTTCAAACAATTGCACTGAGGAAGACTGCAGCAAAGAGCAGTCGACAATTTCTGCACGTACATCGTTTACCTCGTCCTCTTTTTGATGGAAAAAAATGAATCCCTTACGACTGCAAAATGGCTGTTCTTGTTCTGGCTGTTTGGTACGATACGGGCTCCATCTTGCCCTTGCTATGACATCTACAACGATGTAGGCCTACAAACGCGCTGTTCGATCATTCCGCACGACTTGCTGTTAAGATAACGCGACGGACTGAAGTCATCTGAGACGTCTCAAGCCAATCTGCCGCTACTTGATAATAAACCGCATACAGCACATAAGACAAAACAAAGAGAAAAATAAAACGCAGTAAAGATTATTTTGGATTATTTCTCAGAACAAGGAACTTCACATGTAAACAGTTTTGATTGTTTACTTCTGTGGTTTACAGGCCTCCAAAACAATCTTAATGAATCTCGGGCATTTACATGTCATCATAGCATGAGAGTCAACCAAACTTGCATTGATGGCATTTGAGAGTATAGTACTAGGAAAAAAGGTTTGAATCAATAATTCTGTCAACATTTTAAAAACAAATTTGATGTAAAAATTAGGGCGCCGTGCAAATATCACACAGATCATGGTGCACCAATTATAACGCCTGTGACGTTGTGAAGACGATTCACACACACGCACGCGCGCACACTTCTTACAAGCAAGCGCACATTAATTTAAATACTTTTAAAATAGCACTTGGGTATTATTTCAGGTGACATGCCGTTACTGATGTGATAAAGCATGATTAAATACATTCTGATTTGAGTTGGAGAGCCCTCACAAAATATACACGGTGGCGAATTTTAAAAAAGCAAATGTATACTATTTATTAGAGGTCACGCACATTTATTGCGTTATATTTATTTATTTGTTTATCTCATTTTTATTTTCATTTCCATTTATCTATTAATTTCGTCCTACTTGAAGTAAACTGATGAGAGGAAAATAAATATCAAGGGTTAAAAATAAAGGGTCGCTCACAGAAAAAGGTGGATCGTAATAGTGCAAATCTAGCTACGTGTATTCTTTCTGCGAAAGAACGCTATTCTCGATCTTATCTCCACGCCCCACACTAAATTACCCAAGGACTAGTGTTGTCGATCGTCATGACCGAAACCGGTATTTTAAAAGAAATTAACTGAGAGTTCTCTCCATTAGGTTCGCACAGGTTAGGGCCAGCGTGACGTAAGTGGGTACGGGGCTTACCTGTATAAACCAAAGGGAATCTGAAACTCAGACACGACCCCCCCCCCCCTTCCTAGTAGTGAGTCAGGTTTGTCTGGTCACATTCCAGTCTCTTGTTACGTGACTTGCCTTCCAATGCTGACTGTGGTGTGTTTGTAAACAAGTACATTTTACTACGCATTTATTTGTTGCTGCATCACATGGTATAAACAGACACCCGACTTTAATATAAGGTCGGATAAGGTGACTGAAAATGGAGAAAAGTCAATGATAATACTCTGGAGGGTGTTATCAAATTCGTTCCATCATGTACATGTGCACATATGCATACATGTATAGAAACACTTGCAGATTACGCATAACTTAGACATTTTCTATTTTTACTTTAAGTCAGCAATTTATGTTAGTGCTGATGTCATTCCCATTCACCCTTACTACGACTAAATCGTTGAAGGTACTATGTACGTATTTGAAAATTTTCCAAAGTCATTTTCGGTCTACATATCCTGCTAAACTCATACCTTTAAAACTGTAAAAGTACCTGCCATTGATACAGTTCCCTCTGAAATGACCGGTCATTTAGAACTGAATCATTAAATATATGCAACGATACCAAAATGACCGGGCTTCCTTTGAATTTTGAATTTCATATAATGTATGTATAATTTCTTCCCTCGGGGTTGCCATATCTCAATAAAGATTATTATTATTATTATTATTATTATTATTATTATTATTATTATTATTATTATTATTATTAAATGGAATAAAGCATCGAATCCAAGTGTAGGGACGGTTCAAGCAAATATATGTGAGTAGGATAAATTTGTCTTTCCCAAAAATCATTGTGTTTAGTAAGTCCCATGTTGAGAACCTTTAAGTTTTTTGCTTATTACTCTTTTACGCGGTGATATCCATTTTTTTTAAATTTATATAATTTCTCAACTTCTCATTTTATGTCATCCTTCTTAATTCAGTTTTATGAGGTTATTTTTGTTACATTTTTCCCTATATAAATTCATTTTATACTTGGTTATCATTCTCCATCACTACACATGATTAATTGCGTCCTTTCCTTCACGTGCCTTGTGTGGAATGCTGCCGTAGTTTGCGTAGCCTGTGGCAAAGCTATAGTAATAATTACGTAGGCAAAATTTTCGCACTTAATTTATCGTGATGACACTTCAGTGAAAAACTCATAATTACCACTGCCATAGCTAATTCACCAATAAACAGGTCTGTTTTTGACATTTACGATCATAATTTCAACAATAACAATTTCGAGCACCTGCTTATTTTTTGTCGACTTTCAATCTATCTCGCGAAAAATTAAGAAATGTCATTTTATTTCCAGGAAGTAATTAGCAATTTCGGTAAATCCTACAATATGCCACGTACTGTGTAAACGGTTGGTTGGCATTATACTTGTATATGACCCCATT